GAGAATATCCAAAATGTAACCCAAATACTACCACAAATAAATTGGTGGTGTTTTTTTTTTTTTTTTTTTTTTGTTTTTTGTTTTTTTGTTTTTTTGGTTTGTTGCTTATTTCAGACGTACTATGGACCAAGCTCATAACTTCACCCACACTAGGTAAGCATGTAGGCAAAGATGTAGGCAAGAATGTGTCACTGAGCTACAAGCCCAGCCAGTGGGTTTTTAAGACAGGGTTTCACCATGTGCCCAGGCTATCCTCAAGCCTATGAAACCTCTTGAATCCCAAATACTCACCATCAGCCCAGTAAGAAAGTTGTTCTAACACAGAGAAAATTGTTATGTTTCCCTTAGAAATAGCATCTCCTTTTCTTGGTGTGGGGAAGCATTAGCTTAGGGTGTTGTACTCAGGTCCTCCCCTCCCACAGTAGCACTGAGCTTGGTTGAACGACATGATATGACCAATAGGGTAACAGAGGTGAACTTGCACAATGGGAATTGTCCTACTTGCTGTTCTTGAGTACCCATAATTGTCACATTCATGAGTCAAGACAAGCTTGCTAGAAAATAAGATGTGTGTAGTCATAGCCCAGCTCACTTCAAGCCAGCCTCAGACCATGTGGATGAAGTGCCAAGCCAGCCCAGACCACAAGAACCATCACACCAATCCACAAAGCCAGAAAAATAAATACTCCGCAAATCCAATAAGGATTCATTGCTGTTTTATTAAGCAGCAAAAACTATCTGGTATAACCAGGTAAGATTAGTTTCCTAATCCTACAAGCTGCTTCAGCTCCAGCCATTTCTTCTGTATCCCAGTGGCCAAAAAATAAAGCAAATAAGAGCATAATTTGATGATGTTTCCTGGAAATAATATTTGCTTAATAATAACAATTCTTGGACTTGTTTTCTGTTTGTCAAAATCTTGATCACACAATTGGTAACTGTCCTTGTTCTAGAAAAGCATGCATACAGGAGAGCAAAATGGGTGCCCTGCTATTTGTAGTGATGGATGCTGGGAGATGCCCAGTGCCAACTGTGTATGCACTGTACCCAGGGATATAGGAATTGCTTTCCACTAATAACCATATGTGGGTGATATCCACGTGGAAGGGAAGAGTCAAGCTGCAGAAGCCAGAGGCCTAAGAGAGTCTGTGAATGGATGATCTGACTGAAAAGGCTGCATGCTTCAAACTGATTAAAATGGACAGATAAACAGGATTTAAGTATATCAGACAGGTAAACAGAGGTGAGAGTGACTAATAGCTAGCTGGATACCAGCCACAGGCCCTGTCAGCCTTCCCTCTAGCCTAAGCACCCTGGACTCCCACCAGACCTCCCAGGCACTACAGACTTCTGTTCAGTTCACATCAGAGCTGTCCATCAGCACACTCACATAGGTTTGCACATGTGTGAGAAACGAGCACCTTTCCAGGTCTTCCAGGAAAGCTTGTCCTTTGGATAAATCATGGATGTCTTTTCCAAGATGGAAGAGCTACTGGAAGCTGAAGCCTGGATCCATGGAGTCTGAAGGCTGAAGCCTGGATCCATGGAGTCTGAGGGCTGAATTCTCCACTCCTTTGCACCTGACATTCTCGGCACAGTCTCCCTGCCCAGTCTTAAACACCTGTTTATTCTTCTAGACTCACTTCATGCTCCCCCCTGCCACCTTCTAAGTTTTTCATCACCTATCTATTTTAACTCTCAGCTCTTGGAGTGTCTTCATTCTCATTGGCCAGAAGATGACTGCCAGAGACAGGGTAGTTGGGGGTTAAAAGGAAATGACATTCTTCTTTCCACTGATTATTAACCTTTGTAACGTGACCCTGGACTTAACATTTCAGAGATGTCACTTCCACATTCCTAAAATAGAATAATGACAGCACCATCTGAAATAAAATAAAAATACACAAAATCTCTTTGTGCAGTATTTTGTTAAATAACAACTACACATTTTATTGATAATGACTTTGGAAAACTTTATTTTTTCCTTCTGCAGAAGTAGGAGTCATGATTTTTAGGAAGGGGGGATTATGAGATATCCAAATCTGTGCTCTAGGGGAAAAAATGCTCATCATGTGCTTTATGTGATTTATATAAATATTGGTGGAAGTATAGATGGTTGGGTGGGTAGACAGGTCAATGAGTGTGTGGATGGGTAGGTAGGGAGGTGAGTAAGTTGGCCAATAGATGAATTTATGGATGTATCAAAGTGGTGGATGGATGTTCAGATTGGAGGACAGATCATTGGACATGTAGATAATTGGGTATGTGCATGGATGGATGGATGGATGGATGGATGGATGGATGGATGGATGGATGGATGGATGGATGGATGGAGAGATGGATGGATGAATGGATGGATGGATGGATGGATGGATGGATGGATGGATGGATGGATGGATGGGTGAGTGGGTAGACAGATGCATGAGTGGGAGAGTGGATAAGTGAGTAGACAGATAAATTTATGGATTGGTGGGTGGATGGATGGATAAATGACTTGATCCCATCAAGCCCAGTGATGATGGGTTATTTGGTTTTTCTTTTTTTCTCCTCAATATTCCACAGTTTCCCAGTGTTTGACCTTTCACATCCATGGCTAAATTTACTTTTTTAACTTTAAATGAAATTTTGTTTGTAAATTATTTTTGGGATAGCTCATTATTTATGTATAGAAATGATACTAATACCTGTATATTGAAGTAAACACATAGTAATTATGGAAGAGACAGATGCATCAAACAAAAAGACCAATGATGAGGCCATCGCAATAGCTATGCTGGTGGGAAGACACTGAGAAAGGTCAACAGCTACTCTTAAAAACTGTCTGAATATGGAAGGGAGAGTGTCAAAAACAATTCTGAAATTTCTGGCTTAGGTGGTAGGGTGTGGTAGGGTTATT